AATTTTTCCGTTGGTTCCAAATTTTTAAGGGGGGGCCGCCCTTTTTTTTTCGGGGTCTTCACCCGTTTTTAAACCCCCCGGTTTTTTCTCATGGTTTTTTTTTTTTAAAGGTGTTTTTTGGGGGGGGTTGGGGCCCTTCTTATATCCTTTACAACGGCCCGGATGCTTTTCAAACTTGTGGGGGGGGGATCCTTTTCCTTTTTCGTTTTTGGGATTATTGAATACCAGTTTTTTTTTTGGTTTTTTTCCTTTTTTGGGCAAAATTTTTTCCAAGAAAAAAGGGGTTTTTGGGGGCCGTTTGGTTTCCCCCCCCCCCCCCCTTTTTTCTTTTACATTTCCCCCCCGGGAGCCGGGAAAAAAAAGGCCAACTTCCCCCGCTCATGGGAGAAACACCCGATTTTGCAGGTTCTTTCTTCCCCCCCCATGTTGGGGGGGGGGGGGGGGCAGCTGTCCATGTGCTCTCAGCTCCACCTTACAGCTCAAATGAAGCAAGATTTGCGATGAAGTCGGCTTTGTTCTTCAACTGCCAAGGCAGTTCACAGGTGGAGGTCGACCCCCCTTTCCCAAAATGTTGGATGCTCTCGCCCCCTTGTGAAGACCTTGACAAGGTCGACCATCTTGGAGAAGACAACCAAGGCCTCGAAAGGGGAGAATCGACCTCCACCTGTGCATTGTCCTTAGCGGGCGATCCCCTGCTGCTGCGAAGTCCGGCTACAATTGTAGCACTCCAATTTACATGCAACACGCGACGCGATTTTCGACGCGATTTTCTTCCTCGTGCACGAAGGAACAACTATTCGAGGGTGTTGCCCCCGCCCATGTGCTTGTTTGCTGAATATTGGTCACTCCCGAGAGCGTCGTTGTTTTTTCGCGGTATTGCGCCTCAAAGACTGCTCTAGTCTCGTAACCACCCTCCACAGCAAGCGCTGGGTGGATTCAAGAAGAAGACCGCGCTGAATTTTCGAGCCTCGCTTGAGGGAGGATGACCCCCCCTTACAGTTGTAGAACGCAAGCAAGCAAATCCAGACGGGATATCGAGTCATGAGCTGGGCGAAATGCTGCCAGTGTCTGAGTGTGTTGCTGATATTGCCGACACCAGCACACCAAGGCCGAGCTGATGGCCGCAGAGCGAAACATCTGTCCGGTGAACACACGTGTTTCTAGATTGTGCATGCGAACACATTGAGACTGGTTTGGTTTGACCCGCCGAAGCAAGAGCGTGCGCAAGGAGTCGAAACGCCGGCCTTTCTTAGCCGAAGCACGTTGGAAAAGCGTTACTCCATACGCTTGCGCATATGATACGGCGGGCTGGGCGATTATCCGATTTCGTGGTTGGGACACCCTGCTGTTACATAGTGCACGCGCACAGGGTCTGCTTGGAAATCGCTCCTTGAGCGAGCGGCATTTTGGTCCATGGTGGTCACAAACAGAACGAAGCGTAGCAACGAATGAGGCAGCGGACACACGATCGTCCAACCCCGGCTCCGGCTCGCCGGGTTCATGGTTCCAACAGGCCTGATCTACACGCTTATCCTCACTGGCAACACCTGCAAAGCGTCGTGCGCAGCCCGTTGATTGTATTGCTGGTTTCTGTCCTTCGCCGCCACGACGTAGCTGTACTTTCAGAAGTAGCGTCAGAAGTTAAAATGTTCGGAAATTGAACGCCCACAATCAATAGCGTCGTCAACATCAACGAACGGGCATGCTTGCCAGCTTCGGCCCCATCTATGCTTTCTCGCGGCGGACGAAACGCAGCAGCAACAGCAGACGCCTCTCCTGTACTTGCGTCTCCCACCGAGGCTAAAAAGCCAATGGACGGGAGATTCAACCGCAATTGGGTAGGCTCGTGGGTCGCTCAACTCAATTATTTGGTTGCTATCTCGCATCTTTGGTATTTACTTGGTCTTCTCTGTGTAGTTCACGACGAAAACCGCCGTGTAGTTCTAAACCTTAAAACCGGCACACCTTTAAGAATATCAACAAATAAAGCCAAATAAACGCTCTCACTTTGGGGCGGCAACCGGAACACTTACGTCTTCGCGGCCCAAACAAAGCACAAAAAAGACAAGACAAATCACTAGCCAAACGTCCGCATTTTGTGCCCATCAAACACAACCGCCTAAATAATCCAAACAACAGCGAAGAACCAGTCGTCAATGCCTCGACACCCCGCCCCAAAGACGCCTGCTAACGGCATAAAACCTCACGATCGGCCGTTAACCAATCAGAAGGTCCCGCCCTGCGCATTCCTGCCGCTAATTTACATGCAATGCAACTCTCGGCGTCTAGATGCGCCTCGCCTGGCTGCTTGCTGCTACTATATATTGACGAGCGTTGGCGCACGGGGAACACTAACACGATGTGCTGCACTTGGCCGAAATCACCCCGCGACTGCGATGATGCCAAACCGTCGCTTCACTCGTTCCTTACCAATTCATTCGTCCCGCCCCGGAATGGAAGGAACTCTAGACTCTAGATTTCGATAAGTAAGACACGAAAAAATCCTCGCCTGAGCACTCGTGCTTCTTCTTTGACACGAAAAAATCCCCGCTGTACTCCACGACATTCGCAAGGCTTCCAAGCTAGCAATAGCCTAGCCAAGCAGCAGCCACCTACCGGGAAAGCTTCTCTTTCTCCCGCTACAGGAATCACGCACAAGCAGCGAAGCCATGCAAAACGGCCGACACCGCCTTCTCTTTTCTCGGCCTCCCACCTCGGTAACGCAAGAAATGCTGCGAACCGTACCCCAGCTCACACGCAGACTTCGTGCTTGATGGGGGGCTAATTTACTTGGATCCGATGATGGACAGGAACACGTTGTAGAAGATCTGGATGGAGTTGATGTACAGCAGGCGCTGCTCGGTGGGGACGAACTTGAAGTTGATGGTGTGGGCCAGCGGCCACACCGTCCACGACCCCACCACCCCCTGCACCAAGTCGCTCTTGACCTTGGCCACGATCTCGCTCGGGGAGGCGCCGGACGTCACCCCGATCCACGTGAAGAAGATGAGGGTGAAGATAGGGGCCCAGAAGACCTGGTCGATGATCACCTGCGAGAGGAAGGAAAACACGGAAACGTCGGTGCTTGTAAAACATGCTAGGGCAATGTAGTCGTTCCGGTTCACATCAAGGAGATGGCGGTCAATGTACAATGAGGAAAGATGAGCGGGACGGACCGATCAACCCTCCACGGAGAGAAAGACCGGGTGGAAATCAGTCCCACAGAATGCGCGTGAGGATATTGGTGGTATACAACTGTGATCCCGCGAGAGAGGTTTCGTTAAGATCGTTGGGCGGGTCGGGGCGCTTTCAGAAACGTGGCCGATCACCTTTAAAAAAAAGCAGCTGAAGAAAGCAGGCAGCCTCTATTGCCTCGTCCTCAAACCGTGTGCGAATATGCTGAGAGTATTGGTCGTTGGAGAAACCGAAAGATCGAACAAGAAGCGTCTGTCTGAATGACACCTCGTGGAATGATAATTGAAAACGCAAGCACACCCCGTACACAAAAGCGAGAGCTCTCACATTGATACCCGAGAGTGCATTGGCGAGCAGGCATGTGCCCAACACCCTACCGAACGACAATCAAAAGTCTCCCTATGCCCACTTCCATTGGCAAGTCGTGAAAACCGCGCACCATGACGCAAGGTCGGGCCCTCATAATCCCTTCCGGTGTGCTTGCTGAACCACACCAGCCCCAAGCACGGACTGACAAAACCTCCGACACACTATTGACAATAGGCACTATATTGCTCACAAAAATACCCTTATCTATGGATAGAGATGGATTTATTGTGTTCCAGCAGAGGAAAAATAAAATAAATGCAAAATAGCTCCTGTGTGACCTTCCTATTGTGTGACCCAGGGTGATACGTCAGGTAGGTATATACTATACACGCCGAAAGGCCTGTATACCGGCGCCAGAATAGACGGGACGAACACACGCACTAGAAAAAAAAAAAAAGCAGCGTTGTACGAAGTACTTCATGAACAAATCAACCTAGCATCACCTTCTGGATGACGGTCATTGCCGCGGTGCCGGGCAGGGCGCTGTCGAGCGCGTTGTAGAAGAAGTGGGAGATAGTCCCGTGGAACAGAAACCCGAACGCGGCCATGCGGGCCAATCGCGCATACGAGAAGCTCTCCTTAGATGTGCCCTTCTGGGCCAGGAAGTCGCCGATGGAAAATCCTACAAAGGACGTGCAAGCCTGCAGTACGACGACGCAGAGGCGGGGGGCGAACTCTTGATAAAGGTGTGGATGCAAACGGGTGCGAGGGTCAGTCGCAATGCAAAGGAACTGCGTCTTCTGCGGGAAGGAACTCTGAGACGAGCGGCTCATCGCATGACGACGCCACCCAGCTTCTCTGTCTCAACGCAAGTGCGAGCGCTTGGATCGAGGCTGTTCTGGATCTTTGCGCGAAAAACTGCCGTGGAAAAAAACAATATACAAACTGCACCCTCCGAAACATAAGCTCCTCTTGGCATTCTCGAGCGCTACAACAGCTCCAGAGGCTGCTGACGGTGCCGCAGCATCCAAACATACAATCAAGTATCATAGTGGCCCTCAACACTCAGGGCAAATAATTCTGCTATTATTCATCTTGCGGCGTTAGAAGGGCAACACATAAAAACCGTACTCGGGGTGAGGATATTTCGATTACAGTACAAGTACGGCCGGGGAAAAATGCTCCCAAAGCTTACTTTCGAGACCGAGAACAAGACGATTGTCTGAGAAACATGTGCTTGTCGCCGTCGCTGCGTCGGCAGCGTGGTGTCTGGGTTGCCATTGTTTAGTTATTTCGCTGCCATCGCAGGGACCACTTGTAGGATCACTTGTTGGCGGATATATGGTGTGTACTGAGTGCCACCTATCAGCGTGTCTACTCTCCCAACATAGCGCGCGTATTGGTGCCCGCTCCGGAACTAAAACAAAAATCACGCGATAAATGAGTGGCGCTGGATGGTGAGGTGAACATGGACCGAGCGCTATTCCCACAAGAGTCACGGCGAAACGACGGTAGACAAATCTTGTCGTTGTATTCGTTGCATTAAATATCATCACCTCCTCATCTTATCTATGCGACAGGCCCAGAAAATAAAAGTCCGTCTGTCATCACAAGCCAATTCCAAAAAACGCACGAAAGAAAAAAACTTGAGGACGTATGACAGAAATCATGTCCTACCATAGAGCAGGCAGGATCACTCGCGAAGGAAAACAACTAGACCCGCGTCTGCGTCAAGAACTCCCGACGACTGACAACACCAGCATACCACCTCGAACGATCAATGCTACAGCAGACAAGCTGCCTGTAGACTGCAATGTTGCTAAGAGAGCCATGAGACAACCAAAAACCGCTGTTAGATGACCCACAATATAGACCACTATCAGCGCGGACGAGTGGTCTGTAGTGGTCATCGTGCTTCTCAACTAAACTTCATGCCCGAGTCCGTCAAGCTGTGCGCGGTCTTGCATCGCCGTGCCTGGCTGGCATACCCAGCGTCCTTCACCCCGGTGAACGCCAGCACTTTCCTTCAGGAAGTCAATAGCGCAATTCCGGCGTGACGGTGCTCAGCCCATTGCAACGGTGTTAGCAGTAGTTGGAGCGCGTCGGGCCCACTCATACCGCTGTCCATTGCTTTGCTGCTTGAATATTTACCGCTGCCACGACTATCTGCTTGGTCGAAGCGCGGATGATCTATATCGGAAACTGTCCTAGAACGGCACTTGCCAACCTCGATGCGTAAAAACCATGCCCAATCCGCTTCGACCAAGCAGATAAATATTTAGTCGTCGCAGCGGTAAATATTCAAGCAGCAAAGCAATGGACAGCGGTATGAGTGGGCCCGACGCGCTCCAACTTCTGCTAAGGACCGTTGCAATGGGCTGAGCACCATCACGCCGAAATTGCGCGATTGACTTCCTGAAGGAAAGTGCTGGCGTTCACCGGGGTGAAGGACGCTGGGTAAGCTAGCCAGGCACGGCGATGCAAGACAGCGCACAGCTTGACGGACTCGGGCATTAACTCTTGTTGAGAATCACGATGTCAGCGCTGACTACTGCTGTAAGTGGTGCAGTGGTCCTCGTGCTTCTCAACAACCCGCTACCACCAAACTTCTCCACACCTTCACAAGAATCGGCTTGTCGGCCAAGGCGCTGTTGTAAGCGTCCCAAGCACCCCCCGCCCCGTCCTTGACGGTTGCCAGCACGCCCAGCATCGCGAGCGCGTCCATGCCCCTGCCCTCTTCCTCGTTGTCATCGAAGGAACCTTGCCCGCCGTTGTTGATGTTGCCGTTTCCACCGCCCATCATGCCGCCATCGTTGTTGTTGTTCCCCATCTTGACCCCTCCAGGCCGGCCGAAAAGGGCCTGTACATTTGTGTGAGTGTTTGTGTTGAGGTGCGAGGTTTGGAGAGAGAGAGAGACCAAGATGTAGCGATGCTTTCCGCTGTGGGGGGAAACGCAAATCGAAACCCGCCCTCGGGTTGAAGAAGAACCACAGGATGATCATACGTACACAGAGGAGCGGTGCGCGCTCGGCAAAATTGAGTTGTAGCGGTCAGGGGTTCCGATGTCTTGGGTATTTTCTTGTGCACGAGCTGACTCTATGTCTCTTCTACAAGGCGTACATTGGGTGTCAAAAAGGATGAACGCAAGGTGCAGGTGGTGCCGGGCAGCTGCCCAGCAGCACAACGGCGGTCGGTGCCTACATGTAGACCAAAATGGCGCGAAGTGTCCGCGTTCCGATTGTGGTGTTGACGTTGGGCTCATGCTCCCAACAACATTGCATCGCAGCGGCGGCGGCCGCGGCAGCAGCAGCAGCAACGACGACAGAGATTGCTCACCTTGCCGACAACGCTCGCCGCTTTGTTGATAGGCGAAGATGAGCGTCCTGCCGGACCCTTGAGCGACATGCTGGTAGTCGAGGGCGCCACGGGTACGCGGGTCACGAGCGGGGTCACAAAGGCCGTGCAGGAGGATGATCCGAGCGCCACAAGGGCCGCGGGAAGAGCGGAACAGCGCACCATGTTGGAACGAGGGAGCAGACGAGAAAGTAGGCTGGTGTGTGTGTACGTGTTTGTGTGGGCCGTTTAGTGCTGCAGAACAACCGCGTTTGTGCTGGGGACCGGCTGGGCTTTTTGGCGAGCTCCCTTTCGAGGGGGGGTCGCGGAATCATGCTCATGTACATGGATATGTGTAAAATTCGGGAACGCCGAATCGGCACGTAACCGACCATTATTTCGCCGCCTGGCCAAAATCCACGTCTCGACGCACCGCCAATATATTCCTTCTTCACAGAGAAGGCGCGTATGCGCGCGTTCCCCACCCCATTCCACAACACACCCACGTTCACACCCACGTTCACACTCATTGATCACTTCCCCAGTCCAGCCCCGCGTATCTTTTCCCATCCTTCTCCACCGGAGGCATATACGGACACAATAATGATGATATCAGCGACGGGACGAGCGGCGTCCCTCGCGGCCGTCCTACTCGGACTACAGCAGGCCGGCCTTGCCTTCGCGGCCCCGACGTGCGAGCGAGTGGCTGGTCAATGGGCTGTGATCTTCTCCGCCGAATGCACTCAGTGGTTCCAGCAGATAGGGTCCAGGCGCGGCAGCCCACCTGAATCGTGCATACAGGTGCGTACGGATCAGACCTCGAGTGTGCGACGAGCCCTACACACGTAGCCTGTAGGTGGGAAGAACATGTGTTGTGCGGTGTAGGACCCGACTTGGAAACATTGAATGAGCAACATGCGCCACGAGAAGGTATGCACTTCTACATGACGAGAAAACACCGCCGCCTTCCCCCCCCCCCAAGCACCCGTTGAGACAGCACCTGGCCAGACACTCTGAACACCTGGACTCGTACATGTACCGCGAGAAAAACATGGTGTTCTCTAAAGATCATAACCGGGGTTGTTCACGTGTCATCATACATGTACAAGGTTCTCACAATGAAAAGAATACCGACGTTACACGCGCCAAAGAACGAATACCTCGACGCTTAAACAGGCGAACCACGTTTCCCACACAGCCCCATTCTGTAGGACATGCACAAATACAAGGTCGACCCCAACGCTACCAACTGCTCGTCACAGCCTTTCGACGATCAAAACCAAGCAACTTTCTTCGTACTGCTGCTCCCGTGACTCATGTGTGGAATTTTCGTCGCTGTTCGCACCTCTCCAGCAATTTACTAGCGCTGTCTTGGTGGAGAACTTTCCGTGGAACGATGACGTCGTCATCGTGGACAACGAAACCCCCGGGGATGATTTTTCGCTGCAGCCCGAACAACCTGTGCTCAAGTTCGGGGCCGGTATCGTGATCATGCAGACGTCTTGGGTGAGTGCTTTGTCCTCGGGGGAGGATTCGCGCTGTTTCGGTGTCAAGATTGATGGCTGTACCATCAATATTGACGGCAATAGTTCTTGATCGTCCATCACCGTTTCGTATGTAATGCTATTTGTTCCGTCGGCATGTTGCATACAAGAGAGCTGCGCTTAGTTTCTCTGAGGGTCTTGGACGAACATGTATGTGCCAGAGTGCACGTTAAAGTGAGAACTGTTTCGCCACATGCGTTTATCTTTTCTTCAGTAAGAGGTGCGGGAGGGGTAGTGATGTCCCGTATCTTCGATCGTAGTTCCGAGCCCCAAACTTGATCTGCGACCCATCTTTGGTAGATGAAGCATCTGCATGCGGCCCTTCAGGGTGGGCTAGTGTATCATTTGTTCCAGGATTTTAATGTCGTAGTAGGCAGGTAGATCGTTCAACACCTGCTACAGTGCGCAGGTCGAGTGAGTCTCGCACTACCCATACACCCACAAATTCTGACTTCGCTGGTGGCTTGCGCAACGAAAGTCGATAGCGTGTACGATGAATCCTACATAAACGCCCCACCAGACGACGACATCGTCGTGTAACACCGGTGCGGTAGACATGGTGTGGAGCACATTTATTTCAACTTCGCACAACAACTGATGGGCTGCAACTGATTGTGACAAACTATCTATTTATTACAAGGACGACGGTGACGATCAACCTAGCTACAAAATCAAGAACTCGGTGATTTACAATAATGCAGTAACACATGATAGACTGAACCAATCGATTTTCTTCGTGGGTCATCAAGCTATCAAGACCTGGGATGCACTGCTTATCACGGGTGTTCAGACACGGTGACAGCTTCAGCCAGAAGTGATGTCGAATCGTTTTCTTGTGACAAATACTCGGATAGGCATTCCATTGTCATTTGATGTATTTGTTCTACTCAATCAACACACGCAATCATCTCTCTCGGGGTTTCGCAGCTCCTCACTGAAAAGGCGTACCCACCGCAAACGAGCGTCGTTCCCCTCCACATGGATACGACGATCACCTTACTCCTGTAACCTAGCCTTCTTTCTGAATATTCTGCGACAGGACATGGAGGACGGGTCGCTGTGGCAACCTCGGATGTCTAGCAGCGCCGAACGGATATATGCCGAGGTCGAGTACATCGCATCCGACAACCACAGCTATCTAGATTTCGACCTCAGCGTGCGCTACGAGCCCGAGCACCCTCCTCCGGGCAGACTCATGCGAGCCCTTTCCGAAGACAATGACGCGGTGAGACATACGTAGCGCAACTCGAGTCCATGCTACAGAAGCGTAGTCTGTGGGTTTCCTTGTCCCGCCCCGCTATGTGATGTTGGTGATGTTTATGATTGCCAAGCATCGTCCAACAACAACCGACTGGCTCGAAGTACCATCTCTCTTTTCTAGAAGCATGGTTCACGCAACGTACCCCGCGCCCTACCCCACCCGAACATTCTACATCCTTCACCCCGGCTGTGTCGTCCGCAGCCCGACGCGGCAGATGTCGAGGAGATACTGGAGCTCTCCGCGACCCCTCCTCCCCTGGCACAAGACGCCACTGGCGACCTCTCGTACGAACCAGCTTATGTCTACAGCTACGAGCTTGAGTCATACGACTTCAGCTACAGCTTCGAGCTGGAGGACCTCGACTCGTACTCCTATGAGTTCATCGACTCCATGTTTGAAGAAGAATCATCGCCTTACTCGCAGACCTACAGCTACAACTTCCGTGGCGAGGAGGAAGTCTCAGTGCCACCGCCCAGTGCGGTTCAGTCGGTCACCTCATTGGACGTGAGTACGTTATCGCAACGCACGGTGTTTTGGATCCTCTTTTGGTCCGCATTCACAAACCGACTATAGTTCGACGATAGTTGCGTGCAGAGATCGTAATCTTGATTGGTCAAAACACGTTTTGTTCAAAACACGTCTTCGAACGAATGCCATAGCGCTTTGGCTTGTGACAATTGCCGGTGGCTTTTCAGACAAGCTCGTGGAAAGCAACATCATTCCTTCTAAGACGTTCGTCCTACCAGTACCTCAATTGCAGGCTTGAAGCAGCCACACGCCAAAACAAGCCCCCACGTTCATGTTTGTTTCGAATAGCGTGCTGTACTCGACGGTATTGTAAGCAATGCAACCGACGAAGGACGAACGCTTCAGCTTTTTCTTCTTCTCCAGCATACAAAGGAAGGGTGCCAGCTGTGAAGCGTTCGAAGACAATAAACTTAGCCCGAGTATCGACTCCCGACCCCCGCCCGTCCCGCCGCCCCTGCAACCGTGTGATCAGATCTACGTGTGCACGGACGAGGACAACAATCTCGCCGAGCTACGCTTCAACTGCGATCCCGAAAACGATGGCGATGCCCAGTGCTTCGCCGAGGCTGGGGAGCCCAACGTCCGTGCTCTTCACATTCACGTGAGCATGAAAAAACAAATCGAATTTCCGCGTCTGAAGTTTTGGTGTGACGTTGTGTTACTTCATTTGTGTCTTGTCTTCGTCATCTCCTGCGTCTTCATTTCTCTGAGTTGGTTCGAAAATACGAATGTGAAGAACGCCATGGTACGAAGTTGTCCCATCTCGACATCAGATACCGAAAACCACACACCTTTGCGCTTGTGGTCACTAGACAAGGACAGCAGGTAATTTTACAACCCCAGTCTCCCTTCTCCCCACCCCCACCCCCTGTCCACCTCGTGTTGTGACGGGCAGGGCATGGACATGTACTGCGACAAAGTTTGCCTCGCCGGTCAAGAAGGGGGACTCTGGTGCGACATCTTCGGCCTCGATGGGTGAGTAGACCAATCACGTTTGAATACCATGCACTACGGACTACTGCAGTGCTGCAGTGATATATTGTACCTGCTTGTCTTTCGGGTTTTCGTCGAGAAACAAGTTGCTTGATTGGAAACGAGAGAAAATAGACGGAGGGGAAGGATCGGCGAGACCATGGGCCGGGCTACAACACCAACGTATCCCTAACGCTGCGGTCAACGCAGTGGAATAGGGTTTTGACATGAACGAGACCCGTCCCCCATCAATCAGCGGCCAGTTCTCAACACCATCGATACATCCGTTCGGTAGTTATACTCAGGGTTTTCTTCTGACAAGAGTTCGAAAGTATACCTCCAATAAATCTCTCCTTCATCATCCACGCTTCGTGTTGTCTGTGGTTCTGCAATCCTCCCTCTCTCTTTTTCTCTCACTCACTCTCTCCGCCTCTCCCTCTCTGTCCCTCTGTCCCTCCGTCTCTCTCTGTGTCTCTCCCCCTTCGAAACAGATGCCGCATGTGCACCGACGACTGTACCTCCATCTGCGACGGCGAAGCATCTTGCAGCTCGTGCATCCTGTGCGGAGCCCCAAGGGTGCCACCGCCGCCCTCGCCAACGGACGGCTCTCGAGGCATCCCCATCATGTCTGGTTCTCCCACCATGGCTCCATCCGCAGTAAATGGCTCGCGTGGCATCGAGACGATGTCTCCGACATCGTCACCGACCAGCTCTTCGTCTAGTGGTTCACGTGGCATCGAGACCACCATGTCTCCGACATCGTCGTCATCTTCCAGTACTCACATGACTCCCGCACCCTCTTTCGAGGATGGCAGCATGGTACCACTAGAGCCCTCGTACATGGCTGCACCTACCAGTTCTGCCGAGCCAACTGATGGCTTGTCGACTGCTTCTCCTGCAGCCGGGGTGCCAATACTTACGGCGTTTCCCACTCCTTCACCGACCGCGACAGACCGGGAGCTTCCTGCGGCATCTATGGCCCCCACCAAAGCGGCGGAGACTACCGCGCCGTCTATCACGGATGGGAGCATGCTTCCGCTAGAACCTTCGTACACGGATGCACCTACCACTACCATCGAGCCAACTAACAACATGCCCAACACGGTGGAAACCCCTGCACCGACCACAACTGACCGGGAGCTTCCTGCAGCATCTAAGGCTCCCACCAACGCGTTGGAGACTACTGCGCCTTCTTTCACGGATGGGAGCACGCTAGAACCTTTGTACACGGATTCACCTACCACGCCTACCGGACCAACTGACGGCATGCCGACTACGGTGGAAACCGCTTCGCCGACCACCACAGACCGGGAGCTCCCTGCAGCATCGATGGCTCCCACCAGCGTGGTGGAGACTACATCCGCCCCTACCGACGGCATGCTGACCACTACGGAAACCGCTGCACCGACCACAACAGACCGGGAGCTCCCTTCACCGTCTATGGCCCCGACCAGTGTGGTGGAGTCTACCTCGGCTCCGACTGACGGCATGCCGACCGCGACGGAAACCGCTTCGCCGACCACCACAGACCGGGAGATCGATTCACCATCTATGGCTCCCACCAGCGTGGTGGAAACTACCTCGACTCCGACTGACGGCATGCCGACGACTGTGGAGACCGCTTCGCCGACCACAACAGACCGGGAGATCGATTCACCATCTATGGCCCCCACCAGGGTGGTCGACTCTACCTCGGCTCCTACCGACGGCATGCCGACGACTGTGGAGACCGCTTCGCCGACCACCACAGACCGGGAGATCGATTCACCATCTATGGCCCCCACCAGCGTGCAGAAGACTACCTCAGCACCGACCGATGGCATGCCGACCGCGACGGAAACCGCTTCGCCAACCACCACAGACCGGGAGATCGATTCACCATCTATGGCTCCCACCAGCGTGGTGGAAACTACCTCGACTCCGACTGACGGCATGCCGACCGCGACGGAAACCGCTTCGCCAACCACAACAGACCGGGAGATCGATTCACCATCTATGGCCCCCACCAGGGTGGTGGAGTCCACCTCGGCTCCTACCGACGGCATGCCGACGACTGTGGAAGACCGCTTCGCCAACCACCACAGACCGGGAGATCGATTCACCATCTATGGCGCCCACCAGCATCGTCGACTCTACCTCGGCTCCTACCGACGGCATGCCGACGACTGTGGAGACCGCTTCGCCGACCACCACAGACCGGGAAATTGGTTCACCATCTATGGCTCCCACCAGTGTGGTGGAGACTACCTCGGCTCCTACCGACGGCATGCCGACGACTGTGGAGACCGCTTCGCCAACCACCACAGACCGGGAGATCGATTCACCATCTATGGCTCCCACCAGCGTGGAGACGACAACCTCGGCGCCGACTGACGGCATGCCGACCGCGACGGAAACCGCTTCGCCGACCACCACAGACCGGGAGATCGATTCACCATCTATGGCGCCCACCAGCGTGGTGGAGACTACCTCGGCTCCTACCGACGGCATGCCGACGACTGTGGAGACCGCTTCGCCAACCACCACAGACCGGGAGATCGATTCACCATCTATGGCCCCCACCAGCGTGGTCGACACTACCTCGGCTCCTACTGACGGCATGCCGACGACTGTGGAGACCGCTTCGCCAACTACCACAGACCGGGAGATTGGTTCACCATCTATGGCCCCCACCAGCGTGGTGGAGACTACCTCGGCTCCTACCGACGGCATGCCGACCACTACGGAAACCGCTTCGCCAACCACCACAGACCGGGAGATCGATTCACCATCTATGGCCCCCACCAGCGTGGTGGAGACTACCTCGGCTCCTACCGACGGCATGCCGACGACTGTGGAGACCGCTTCGCCAACCACCACAGACCGGGAGATCGATTCACCATCTATGGCTCCCACCAGCGTGCAGAAGACTACCTCGGCTCCTACCGACGGCATGCCGACGACTGTGGAGACCGCTTCGCCGACCACCACAGACCGGGAGATCGATTCACCATCTATGGCGCCCACCAGCGTGGTGGAGACTACCTCGGCTCCTACCGACGGCATGCCGACGACTGTGGAGACCGCTTCGCCGACCACCACAGACCGGGAGATCGATTCACCATCTATGGCTCCCACCAGCGTGGTGGAGACTACCTCGGCTCCTACCGACGGCATGCCGACGACTGTGGAAACCGCTTCGCCGACCACCACAGACCGGGAGATCGATTCACCATCTATGGCCCCCACCAGCGTGGTGGAGTCCACCTGGGCTCCGACTGACGGCATGCCGACGACTGTGGAGATCGCTTCGCCGACCACAACAGACCGGGAGATCGATTCACCATCTATGGCCCCCACCAGCGTGCAGAAGACTACCTCGGCTCCTACCGACGGCATGCCGACCGCGACGGAAACCGCTTCGCCGACCACCACAGACCGGGAGCTCCCTGCAGCATCGATGGCTCCCACCAGCGTGGTGGAGACCACCTGGGCTCCTACCGACGGCATGCCGACCGCGACGGAAACCGCTTCGCCGACCACCACAGACCGGGAGATCGATTCACCATCTATGGCTCCCACCAGCGTGGTGGAGACTACCTCGGCTCCTACCGACGGCATGCCGACGACTGTGGAGACCGCTTCGCCAACCACCACAGACCGGGAGATCGATTCACCATCTATGGCCCCTACCAGTGTGGTGGAGACTACCTGGGCTCCTACCGACGGCATGCCGACGACTGTGGAGACCGCTTCGCCGACCACCACAGACCGGGAGATCGATTCACCATCTATGGCCCCCACCAGCGTGGTCGAGACTACCTGGGCTCCGACTGACGGCATGCCGACGACTGTGGAGACCGCTTCGCCAACCACCACAGACCGGGAGATCGATTCACCATCTATGGCGCCCACCAGCATCGTCGACACTACCTCGGCTCCTACCGACGGCATGCCGACGACTGTGGAGACCGCTTCGCCGACCACCACAGACCGGGAGATCGATTCACCATCTATGGCTCCCACCAGCGTGGTGGAGACTACCTCGGCTCCTACCGACGGCATGCCGACGACTGTGGAGACCGCTTCGCCAACCACCACAGACCGGGAGATCGATTCACCATCTATGGCTCCCACCAGCGTGGAGAAGACAACCTCGGCTCCGACTGACGGCATGCCGACCGCGACGGAAACCGCTTCGCCGACCACCACAGACCGGGAGATCGATTCACCATCTATGGCGCCCACCAGCGTGGTGGAGACTACCTCGGCTCCTACCGACGGCATGCCGACGACTGTGGAGACCGCTTCGCCAACCACCACAGACCGGGAGATCGATTCACCATCTATGGCCCCCACCAGCGTGGTCGACTCTACCTCGGCGCCAACTGACGGCATGCCGACGACTGTGGAGACCGCTTCGCCAACTACCACAGACCGGGAAATTGGTTCACCATCTATGGCCCCCACCAGCGAGGTGGAGACTACCTCGGCTCCTACCGACGGCATGCCGACCACTACGGAAACCGCTTCGCCAACCACCACAGACCGGGAGATCGATTCACCATCTATGGCCCCCACCAGCGTGGTGGAGACTACCTCGGCTCCTACCGACGGCATGCCGACGACTATGGAGACCGCTTCGCCAACCACCACAGACCGGGAGATCGATTCACCATCTATGGCTCCCACCAGCGTGCAGAAGACTACCTCGGCTCCTACCGACGGCATGCCGACGACTATGGAGACCGCTTCGCCGACCACCACAGACCGGGAGATCGATTCACCATCTATGGCGCCCACCAGCGTGGTGGAGACTACCTCGGCTCCTACCGACGGCATGCCGACGACTGTGGAGACCGCTTCGCCGACCACCACAGACCGGGAGATCGATTCACCATCTATGGCTCCCACCAGCGTGGTGGAGACTACCTCGGCTCCTACCGACGGCATGCCGACGACTGTGGAAACCGCTTCGCCGACCACCACAGACCGGGAGATCGATTCACCATCTATGGCCCCCACCAGCGTGGTGGAGTCCACCTGGGCTCCGACTGACGGCATGCCGACGACTGTGGAGATCGCTTCGCCGACCACAACAGACCGGGAGATCGATTCACCATCTATGGCCCCCACCAGCGTGCAGAAGACTACCTCGGCTCCTACCGACGGCATGCCGACCGCGACGGAAACCGCTTCGCCGACCACCACAGACCGGGAGCTCCCTGCAGCATCGATGGCTCCCACCAGCGTGGTGGAGACCACCTGGGCTCCTACCGACGGCATGCCGACCGAGACGGAAACCGCTTCGCCGACCACCACAGACCGGGAGATCGATTCACCATCTATGGCTCCCACCAGCGTGGTGGAGACTACCT